CGCCCCGCGCAGCCCGGTGCCGCGCCCGCCAGGTGGTGCGCGAGCGAGGGGCGCGGCGGGGTGGCTCGCGCGGCGTGTGCTTCCCGGGCGGGCGGAGGGGCTGAGGCGCTGGAGGTGAGGGCGGCGGGGGCGATCTGGGGCGCAGGGGGCGCGGCAGGCAGCCCGGGAGCTTTCTCCCCTCGGCTCTCCAGGTTGCACGCTGCCGGCGGGAAAGCACGTTTACCTGCGACCTGCCCCAGCGTGGTGTCTCACGGGGCGGCGTGCACCCGGGCTTCCCCGGGAGGGAAGGCAGCCGGCGACCTGGCCCCTGCCCCGCGCCCCGGTCGCTCAGCTCCTAAGCGGGACCTCCCAAAGGTGGGTGCCCAACACCGGGAATTAACAAGAGGATCTTCATGGATCCTCACACTATGCCGTCCAGCACGTGTCATAAAATCCTCCTCCGAAGTTTGCTGGACAGCAGCCACTTCCTCGTGCCTCTCGTCTGGGATCCTTCTCCAGGCTACCAGCCGCCACCGTCTCCGCCCCTGGCCCCCCATCGGGACGCTAGCCTTGGTCTCTCTTTCCCGATAGATAACAGCACCAGCTGTTTTGGTCACTTGTTATTCCTTGCTGAGGAGTGTGTTTTCCCTTACATTCTAGGTCGATGCTGGATACACACATGTACCCACTCCTTTGTATCGATAACTTTTTGAGTGAAAATACTAGTCCCGTGTCAATAGAATACATTGTTTTGAATTTCTTGAGTGCAAGAGCTATCTACTTGCCTTGCCATTTTTGGTGCAGCACATGGGGTATCTTAGTGAATATTCCATGTGCACTTGAAAAAACTATGTATTCTACTGTTGTTGGGTGAAGTGGTTTATAAATGTCAATTAGGTCAAATTGCTTAAAATAACCATTTTGTTTTTTGTTTTTTTATTTAAGATTTGTTGGGGGGGGATTGGGGGAGGGAACAGCATTGGGGAATTGGGGGAAGGGGAACAGACAATTTGCTGTCCTTTTGTTCTTCAGTCTAGTTGTAGAGGATGTCGCATCACTCGCCCATGTTGGTGCTGTGATCATTGCGCTCTTCCGGGCTGAGGCAGATCAGTCGCTGGACATTGGTTGATCCCTCAAAGCAGCTCACAGTAGCTCATGGGTGGCCCAGCTCCAGGGCAAGCTGTTGTTCACCATCTTAGCTGTAGAGGGCGCAGCGTCACTGGCCCTCATGTGGGATCCGAACCAGGGTCCTGCTGCTCAGACCTTGTGCTCCCAAGTCAGCTCTTAACCAACTCGCCACTCAGCCGGCCCCCCATATTGATTTTCTGCTTGTTCTGAGATAACTGGAAATTATCCTTTCAGTTCTAGGTTTCCCCCCCATGGTTTTGAAGCTCTGATTAGAGGCGTAATTTAGGATTATTATGTCTTCTTGGTAAATTGACCCTTTCATCATTATTATATGTTCTCCTTGATTGATGGTACAACTTTGGGTTTTAAAGCCTACTTTTGTATTAGTAATATAGCCACTTCGCCTTTCTTATGAATAGCATTCACACAGTAGGTCTCATTCTGTCATTTTAATGTATCTATGTTTGTTTTAAAGTGGCAGCATATAATTGGGTCTTGCTTTTTTTTTCATTTTATTCAGTTTGACAATCTGTGTTTTGACTGGAACGTTTAGACCTTTCATCATGTGCTTATAGATACGGTGACGTTTAAGTCTACTCTATTGCTGTTTGTTTTCTATTTATCCCACCTTTGTTCTTTTTTGTCTTTTGGATTATTTGAGTATTTTTTTAGGATTCCCTCTTCTTTCCACTGTTAGCTTATCTTGTATATACCTTCTTGTTTTATTTTTTAGCTCTGAGATTAAATTATGCATCTATAACATCACATTCTACATTCAGATAAAATTCTGCCACTTCTATGTCCTGGAAGAACCTTGGAACAGCATACCTCTATTTCCCCCTCCAGCCTTGTGCCACTGTAGTCATACTACTTATTTTGCTCTGTAACTCCCTGCTGTGCTGCCTGATTGGTGCTCTGCAGGCTTGCTTTGGTACTTTTGGAAAGCAATATTGTGGTGTTGATTTTAAAAAGTTTAAAGTGAAAATATCCTTTGAGAAAGCAATTCCATAGCTTGGAATCTAACATATCAATACATAAAGAGAGCTAGATAAGAATGCTTACCATTTTTGTAAAACCACAAAAAGAGAACAATGTGAATGTTTATTAATATAGGAATGGTAGAAAAAATTATGGCCTATCATAGTACAGACTACAATGCAGCTAGCTACTTAAGAAAATTGAGTCGTTTTGGAAAGATGGCAATGTTATATTAAGTTAAAAAAAAAGTTACAGAGTAATATCATCCCATGTTTGTAAACAACCACCATAAACAGAAATTTCTGGAAAGACAACAATGATGGTAAACACTACTAGCATACTTACACTTCCAAGTTTATTTAATCCTCGTGACGGACTTGTAAGGGATACTATTATCAGTCCCATTTTACAGATGAGGAAACTGAGGCACAGAGAGGTCAATAACTTGCTGAGGGTCACTTGCCAATAAGTGGCAGAGCTGGGATTCAGAGCCTGGCCATGTGGCTTGGTAGTGGTAGGCCTGACTCGCTAAGCACCCAAATTTTAATATCAGGTGTGTTGCAGAAGGGAAGGAGAAATGACTAATTTAATTTTGGTGTTTTGAAATTATTTACATTGAGGAAAAAGTACTTTTGCATTGTCACTGAGAGTTGTGTAAACTTGGCAAATAGATGTTAAAACTCTAAATGAAGTAAGTACAGGAATGGTTGCAAGTACAGCTTAAAGAATATTTTGTAATCCGGCCTATTGTCTTAAGTGCGGAGACAGGCTTTCTTGGAGGTGGTGTGGAAGCCGGACGAGATTATGGTTTGCTAGAAGGAACTGACTGATGGGAAAGGGTACTTTCGCTGTGGCACTTCCTGAGAACTACCAAGGCTTACTCCTGGCACATTTCCAACATTACCCCTTCTTTGTTTAAAAAAGATTAAGGGACTTAAAACTTCTGCTTGGAAAGCCCCAGAGGTGAGAATGCTGGTTTTAGAAGCACGTTGAAAAACAGAATGCCCATGTTAACATGTTAAATCTACTTTTTTAAAAAAGCTTAATTAAAAAAATGAAATTACTTTTTAAGGACTCTATTTCTATATTTATGGAACTATCACTCAAAAAAATCAAATATTTTATAAATATCAATGGAAAATACCATTAAAACATTACCAACATAATCCATTACAGTGGGCTTAAAGATGTCATCTTTTCTATATAAAAAGCATTATTGCGAGAAACATAGAAGTATGTAAAATCAACTTCGATTTTTCTCTGTGAAGTGAAGAATGCACCCACTATAATTAAAGGAGTTGCTCACCATTTACAGAAACTAGTTTAAATGTTACTTGTGATTCAAAAACTGCTCCCATTTATAAGCACACGTACAATTAAATTTGGGTATATATAATAACTGTAAAATACATTTTAAACAACAGTATTTATTAAAGTTAAATGTTTCCAACTTCTTAAAAGCACTCGAGTGACAATGTTTTATTTGAACTGGGGAAAGACAAAGCACATTATACAACCACAGGACTCATAGGTTTATTTAAAAACTCTCCTATATGAATAGTGCGCACCGCACCTCGGAAATCCCCACTACTCCCCATTTGTGCATGGACTTGAGTTTTCAGAATTAAAAAGGTAAAATAAAAATGTGGCTATCATTTTGGATTCTAGTGAATGGCTTGTATTATATTACATTTTAACAGTTCTCACTTAAGTATCAGAAAACAGAGGTACGATCTTGTTAATGAAATGCTTGTAAAATGTCAGTAAGAATGAGAATTCATCAGTTAATGCAATTTTTTTCACATGGAGATATAAAAATAGTTATGGTTCCTGGGCACAGAGCTGAAGAGAATACATAAAAGTCAAAGTTATTGAGCAAACACAAGACTTTATATATCTTTCTGTCAGTGAAAACTTACCAAAAAATACAATGATTTTATTACCTACCTTGTTATGTTTTGCTCTTCCTGTCATCTTGCCTATAAAACACTTTTTAAACAAAAGTAAAGCATTGATAAATGAGTGGTCATTTAGGCAAATTAGGGCACTATACTATTCCATAATGACACCCACTCAAACATAATATAAAAGTTTACAAAAACTTTTGAACTATAGACATGGAAACCTATAATATTAATATCTTGCTTGCTTTGGTAGACAAGAGTTTTGTTAGTCCTACAGATTTGGTTTTCAAAATAAATAAATGTCTAAACTGTTTGAGTAAAATATAGTAGTCACACGCTTTTTGTATATTTTGTTACAGATAAAATGGTTTCAAGTGGAAACAGGGATACTAATTTACATTTCCTCCACTTCCCTTCTTCTTAACCCCGCTTTAATGATATGATGGGGAAAGTGTCTGCACGACCTTTACACATGAACACAAGGACAAGTATTATCCTATATGCGGATGGCAAAGTTTTACTTCCAGACTGCTTAGGTGCAGACTAGACTCAGCAGACAATAGATGCTGCTGTCTACACTGAGATAAAGTGATTTATTTCTAATAATAGTTTTATTGAAGTATAACATACATCAAGTGTACATCTTGATGAATTACCATAAAATGAAAACATACATGCAGCTAGCACCCCAAATGCCCCCTTATACCCCCTTCTTGTCATCGCCCCTCATCCTTCTTGATAGACTTCATTATAATACCATTCGTCCATTTTTTCTGATATTGAACTTCATATAAATGAATTTTACACTGCAGTATGTATTCTTTTGTGTATGGTGTTTTTCAATATTATGTTTGGGAGAGTCCTCCATATCATTATTTTATGGTGTTCCATTGGATGAATATATCACAGTGTAGTCATCATTCTACTAATCAAAGATATTAGGGCTATTTTATATATCTGTGGGCTAAGATTGCTGACATTTAGTTTATGAGTTTTCACATCTATGTTCATGAGAGAGGTAGGTCTGTCATTGTCCCTTCTGAATTAGGTCCTGTCAAGTTTTATATTAGGGTTTTTGTGAGCAAGACTGTGAAATACATGGAAGAACTTTTATTTGGTAGAATTCACTGAAGCTATCTGGGCATTGGGGTTTCTTTGTGGCATAGTTTTAAATTACAAGTTTGATTTCTTTGCTATTGAATGACAGATTTTCTGTTTCTTCTTGTGTTGGTTTTGGTAAGTAGTTATTTTTTTAAAAAGGAATATGTCCATTCCATCTAAGTTTTTAACTTTATTGGTATAAAGTCACTTATCTTACATTTTTAATGTCATAGAGTTTTAGAGGTTTCTTCTTTTTCATTTCTAATATTGGTAATTTAAACCTTCTGATTTTCTTGATAAGTATCATTGGGGTTTAATCAAATTTATTTGTTCAATTAATTAGAATTAAATTTTCAGCTTTATTGATCTTTCTTATTGTATGTTGAGCTATTTCATTAATTTCTGATCTTTAATGTTTCTCCTGCCTAGTCCGTGGTTCGTTTCAA